ATGTTTGTGGTTGTAATGTGACAAAATATGGAAAAGTTCAAGGGGTATGAATACTTTTGCAAACCACTGTATTAACCAGAGTTATAGGAACAGAGTACAATTCTCCAACTAATATTAAGTATTTGCCTTCTCTGTCGGATATAGTTCTTATGGGTAAAAGGTGTACCTTTCTTGAATAATATCGCCACGCCTCTAGCTCTCACTGTACAAGTAGAATGGTGAGCTTGCCCTGTCCACCTGCATCTCAATTTTATGTGCTCATTCTTTTTGAAGGTAGATTTCCTGAAGGAAGATTATGTCGCTGGATAATGTCTTTAGGTGTGATAATATTTTACCCATCTTCACGGGCTTATTCAAGCCTTTAACGTTCCATGTAACCAAAGTAACTCATCCCCCACTTCCTTGTTTGTGTTACATCAACCTGCATAACTCAGACTATAATGAAAAAAAGTATAGAATTCCTCGTAAGTATGATAGAGATGATTATACATGATAAATAAGTCCCAGCCCACCCATTCAAACAAAATGCTTATTGTCTTACCTATACTAAGAAGAACCTGCAAAGTAAGGCGCGACCCCTCAAAGGAAGTTATAAAGAAAAAATAAACAGAAAAATTACGTTAAAAGCAAATACACTTAGAGACACACAGCTGACACACATTAACTTACTTAACTAACAACTTCCCTTACTATTAACTCCTATTTAGACACTGAAAAACGCTCCATAAAAATATAGGATTCAAACACTAAACTGACACATGAGCAGCTGAAGGAAACATCTGAAAAATATGCCAAGTTATATAAGCTGCTTATTTATAAATACCAGACCACTCTGAAATGTCAATGATATTCAAAGCAACTAATTATTTAAGCAAAATTTTACTTCTGAAAATTATATAAACTTAGCTGGATAAGCCTCACAGGACAGTTCAGGTATTGAGTACTGCCATAACCGCCGGTCACTCCACGTCCGCATCAGGTGTCCGCCACGGGTCGCCTGCAGCATCTTCACCGGTGCCAAAGTGGATCTCTGCGAACTTCTGGGCTTCTTTCACGTCTGTGAACATTGTTTCTGTTCCTCTGAAAGTCACTCTCGGCTTTGCAGGATAAAAAAGACCATACTGAACTCCCGGCTTAGCCCGAAGAAGTGCTCTGACGTCGTTAAATGCAGCTCTGCGTTTTGCAATCTCTGGGGTGAAGTCAGGAAAAATGCCAAACTTCTGCCCCTAGTAGATGAAGTCTTTCTGAGTCATGGCCTTCCGGAGGATTATTGTAGCGTCGCTGTAGAAATGGAGTCTCACCACTATCGACCAAGGGGGTTCTGTATCATCTGGGCATCTTCGTAGAGCTCTGCGACCACCAGCGGCAAGTCTTCCATAGTCAGCATGTCTTTCAAGAGCTGGGAGATAAATCTGTTCAATTCTGCGCCATTCTCTGCCCCTTCTCTTAACATTGCAATTCGTATATTTCGTCGTCTGGATCTTCCTTCAAGATTCATGTATTTTTCAGTCAATTGATTCATTTCTGTGCATAGACGTTTTACCTCCGACTCTATCGTGGTTACAGCATCTGCTGACTGTGTGGCCGCTCGTTCTAGCTCAACAATAGATGCGCCACGTTGATCATTGGACGTTTTCAGTACGTGAATGGCATTTTGAGTCTCGGTCTTGAGGGTGAGGAGTTCTCCTCTGATYGTGGTGGACACTTCTTCGATGCGAGTATCTATTGTCTGCCAAATTTCAATCTTGGTGTCTTGTAGTTCTGTTCGAAGAGAGTTTATAGCTTCTAGGATGGTAGCGTTAGCCATCGGATAGCTACCTTCAGGTGAGTCCGTGCTGGTTGGGCCTGGTTCTTTCACTTTCTTGTCTTTGTTGATGGAATGCATCCTTAAATTTGCTTTCATCCTGTCCTGGTGCAGTTGGACAAAGTCCAGACTGTTTTTTCTCACAACTTGTTGTAAAACTGCCTGAATGTCAAGTCAGTGATAAAAATATTTTGAAATATGCAGGAGCTCTAGGGAAACACTGCCTACTCCTTCATTGCTCACTAGCCTGGTATTGTCAATGTAAACGCAGATAAAATATGGTGATTGTGAGTAAAACTGTGTGTGTGGTGGTGGTGGGGTGATAACACAGCTGGACCATTCATTCTCATGTTCAACAAAAGTTTTAACACGTTTAAAAAACAGATAGACATACACAGATGTTATTTAGAGGATGTTTGTGTGACATCAGGGTATTTTGGTTCTGAGTTCCTGGGACATGCGAGAGCAGAGGACCTGTTGCTGATAGCACAGCTCTTCCTACACATAATGAAAACACTTGTCTTGAATTTAGGGTTAAATAACAAATAATTGTATATAGATCAGTGTTTCATTAAGGCAAAGAAATAACCACCATATGTATCCAGTAACTTTAATAATAGGTTGAAGCAGTTGCCACTATACAGTTGAAAGT